CTCATTTGGGCCTCTTGGAATCCAAGTGAGGGAATCCAAAAACCCATCGAACCCAATGCCATACTAATCCGAGCGAGCCTTCACGAAGACCAAAGCCACCCAGGTCTGGGTCGACTTCACCCAGGCATTCCCGAAGAGAACTGGAACCAAACGCGAGGCTGGTGGCGAGGGGGATAGAGGCCTCACCAATTCGGCACTTAGCGCCCATTCTCGGCCCGCGGACGCCTCCGCTCACAACGGTGCGGTTGAATTGCTCTGCTGCGCGGCTGGAGACCCAAGCCACGGCACCGATGCCTGTCAAACAGAACTGGGCTCAGCAGGGTCTGTCCAAACCCAGGCCGGAGTCACCGAGCCTGTCCATCCACGGCAGATCTGACACACCCCAGCCTGTTCCAAACCCAAGCCAGACACATCCCAAACCTGTCCAAACTCAAGCCGATCTCATCCGGACCTGCACATCCCCGTGCCACCGTCATCCATGCCTCTCCCCACCCTGCGCGCATCCATTGAGGCCTTACCAAATGCAGGCCAGACTCGCGTCGCCTGGGCCTATCCGAACCTACGGCGGATTCACCACTTCCTACTTATCCCATCCTGGGTCGAACACGTCCAGACATACCTGGAACCAGACTGGAAGCATGAAAGGGCTCATCCGAAGCTGACCGAGCCCAGGCCGAACTAATACGGACGTCTGCAAACCCAGGCCAGTCGTTTCCAAGCCTCCAGGCGTCTCCTAGTCTGGGGCAGACCCATCGTCCCCATCCAATTGCAGACTGGACCTGCCCAGGCCTGCCCAGAACCTAAGAAGGGGTCGTCCCTGCCTTTCAGACCTGGGTCGTACGCCAAGCAGCCCATCACAACTCCGAGGAGATGTGCCAAGGCCGATGAAAACAGGATCCGACTTAACCACCCTCGAGCTGATCCCTGTCCCAGGGATCGGCAAGCCCAAGGCGATGGCAATCTTAGGGATGTGCCCTCCGACAATAAGCGAACCCCTAAGTTCGCCACAGCTATAGGACAGTTTTAGGGATATGCTTCAGGCTGGTAAACAAAGCCAAAATCAGCAAGCACGAACGAAAACGCAATCATGCCACGCCAGACCCATCCATGCCTACGACTCGATTGATCTATCTCACAACGGATCATGACAATCCGAATGCTTCCCGCTCCTACTTCGCTTCTGGACGAGACAGTGAACCTCTCAACCAAGATGGGCTCGTAGGAGACACCCGCTTGCGAGGAGAGAAGCCAGGAGTGTGCCAGACTTGACCAGGCCACATCGTACATGCACATGCAGTTGTACACATGCAGTGGCGAATTCACACGGTGCAAACGTACAAATAAACATCGGACGACTCCACTTGAACGTGGGAAACGAGGCGTGCGAGCCATCGGCGACCTGCTCCTCCATATCCCACTTCGCATGACGCCGCGAAGATGCATGCAAACGATATTTACCATACATCTGACTGTACACGGTTGCTTTCTTCGCCGTCTGTATATATATATCATATGTTTACAAGACAGCTGACAGTAGACAATTGCTTGTTCATCCTGTCCACAAATTTCACCGATTGGTACACACATATATGTGTGTTTACGTGTACAACTATCTGTGTACAGCTCTACTGGAATTGCTCACTCGATCTTCCTCTGTACCTTCCTCTCTCTCTCTTCTCTGCACCTGTACCTTTACATGTTCTGCCCTTGATATCACAATCCGTGGTGTGTCCGGTTCCTTCTCTTCTTTCTATGTGTATATAAAAAAGTTTATGTGCTGTTTCTATCTCTCTCTCTATATATTTATGTGTATCTCTATCTCCCTCGTTCTCTCCATGTTTGTTCGTATCAGTAAACACATAAATTAGTGCACCATTGCGGTTGCACGCGTGGTCCCAAAACAATGAGTTTGTGCACTCTGGACATGCTAATATATGTGATGCATCCGATGTCGTGAGAGAAATATGGGGCCATCCCTCAACTGGAGCAAAACGTGTGGTGCAAGCTGTACGGTGAAAGCAATCTGGTGCAAACGACGTTGTGAAAGCTGTGGTGCAAGCTACGTGGTGCAGCCAGCGCATGAGGCGCCCACGAGGCGCCCATGGGGGGCCACGGGCGACTGGCGAAAACTTCAGAAGGGGCCATCTGGCGATCGAGGCGCCTCCACGGCGTTGACTGGGCGAACCCACTTACGCCCGTCAGCGAACTAGGCGCCCACGAAGCCCCCACAAGCGGCCATGTGCACCCACGAGGCACCCACCGACGGCGACTGAGGGAAAAATCCGAAAATCAAACGGAAGTCATAGAACGGTGGATGTGCATGCTATGTCGTGCATGCCATGTCGCGTAAGAAGTACGTGGTGCAACATGTGTACATATATGTACAATATATATACATATATTGTATATGTATGCGATGCATGGTATGGGGTATAAGGCATGCGGTGCAGGCAGGGGTGCAAGCTATGTGGTGAAAGCTATGCGGTCTAAGCTATGAGGAGTAGGCCATGCGATGCAAGCTATGTTGTGTAAGCTATGTGGTGAAAGCTATGCGGCGCAATGCAAGTGCTGCACGCTATACGCCAGCGGTGGACAGACCTCCCCTTAGTAAACCTCCCTTTCATGAAAACGGCCTAAGACCGAAATCGACGGACCTGAATCCGCAACAATGACGGCCGCGACGCCCTCTCCGCAAACCGAAAACGGCAAATTCCTGAATCGACGTGTCAAGGTAGGAGGTCTGTCCACCCCGGAATATAGCGTATTATGTGTGGTGTAAACGATGCTGCGCAAACGATTATGCAGGCTGTGAATACGGCGTGGTGCAATATACGCGGTGAAAGCTATGTGGTGCATTCCAATGCTCGCAATGATCGCACTGAATTGCCAACTCCACTTCTCGTGCAATCATCCCACCCATCCCACCCACAACTTCGTTTGCAAAAACCATGCGGCGGCGATTGCGATGAGTGCTTGGCGTTGGCTGGTGCATTTCTGCGGGCGCGCACAGCGACCAGCTGGTGCGGCGCGACCGACGCAGCCGCGGTGGCGCTGGCCGCGGGCACTTCAGTGTGAGTCGGTGACTTGGGCGAGCGCGGTATCATGGCGACGCCGACAACGGTAGACACGATGATGAGAGTAGGGATGATGGTGACGATGGTGACGATGACGATGGCAAAGCCAATGGCCAATGACGGCGCCGATGTTGACTACGCCCGCCAGTAACGATGACGATGTCCTCGCGTCGGTGATCAAGGTTTTGGAAGGAGTTCGACATGCGCGCGCTGCCGACGCGCGCGAGTGGCCCAGCCCGCGTGGTATTATTCAGCACGGATCGTGCCCCCCGCCCCCCTCCCCGCACGCGCGCAGGGGCGCCCGGATGAGTTCGACATGCGGCGAGAGAGGCCCCTTTGGCACAATGTGGTGACAATGTTGGAAAACGTACGGCTTCCTTAATAATTTGCATGAGCGCGAGCTCCAGTTGTGTTAAAAAACATGTGATGCGGAACTGTGTGTGTTTGTTTATGTGCTCTCGGGGCACTGGGCATTGAAATCCTTACGGCACTTGCAATGTTTGAAAGATTTTTCCACACGCGAGCAACGAGGCGCGCGTGTGCACATGAGTTTTGACAAACGAATGTGCGCGCATAACATTTGCTGCAGAGGATGACGGGGGTGTCGATACCGGCATGGCTGGGATATTGGGAATTCAAACTTAGGATGGACGATGGGGCAGAATCGCATTATATTGCAATGCGAACACGGGGCGGTTAAATCCGACGGGGGGCAGATTCTAATAATCTTTAAAAATGAACATAGATGTGGTGCAAGCCGTGTGGTGCAAGCTAAGTGGTGGAAGCTATGCGGCCGCCCAGCGCACGGCGCGGCCACGAGACGACGGGCGGGCAGCGTGGCAACTAATGTCAACGGTTCGTCTTTGAGAGGAAGGCGGGGATTCGACGGCTCGCTCAGCGCGCTCCTGAAATGCATTGAATGATGTGCGCGGTTAGCTATGTCTGTGTGTACATGTGTATAAATGTTTCATTATCTCTCTCTCTCTCTCTGCCTGACTCTCCCTGCAATGTTTTTGTATCTTTATCTCTGTGCACAACCTGCCTGATGGCTCCGTGCGGTGATGCGCCGAGAGGCGTCTCAGATACAAGAGCGGGCATTGGCTTTGCGAGCCTCTAGACCAGCGTCCTCCTCTGCAGCCTCTCCTTCATCCCTCGCCACCCGCGCTCCCTGCTCCACCCATCAACTTACAGCTCAACACGAGGCGACGAACCGGATAGCGAATCCTCGAGATCCTGGGCGGGGTGGGCTGTCGGCTCCGTATCGGCGATCAATGAGCGATTTGGGACACGCTTCGTGGCCCCATAGGGAGCTCCGCCGAAGGCCCCAGGGGCACCGTTCGCATGCGGGCATCACATCACGCCCGTTCCAGCACACCCCTGACACGCTTCGTGGCCCCATAGGGAGCTCCACCGAAGGCCCCAGGGGCACCGTTCGCATGTGGGCGTCACGCCCGTTTTGGCACACTCCTCGCACGCTTCGGCGCTCATAGGGCGCTTCACCGCAGGCAGTCCCTGAGCCCTTGCCCACCCCTGGAGGTCGTCGGGCCAGAACTCTGGCCTCCGGCGGCCGCTCGGGAGGATATCCGGGCCCCCCCAGCGTGCCTTCGGCGAAGGGCAACTGCCGGCACGCATCCCGCCGAGAGCCGGCGAAGACGCCGTGAAACCTCGAACCTCGGCCCTACCTTCTTGAAAGGGCCCACAACACGCACAAACAAGTCCCCGGACCCCCCATCTTTCCACACATCTTCGGGGCTTCTGTCTTCCTGCACACTTCCGGTGTTTTCGCGCACTTCTCTAGAATCGTCGATTCATTGTGTCTGTGTGTTTTCTTCCCTCCTGTCTTCTGCCCCGCGGGGCCCCCAGCCCTCGGCGAGAAAGCGGCCCGAGTCAGAGGCGCTGCGCAGCACGCCGGCGGACCGAGCTCGCTCAGGCCCCGCGCCGCGACGCCTCGCGCAGCGGCGAGGCGCACCCGAGGAAGGCCACGGGCGCCGGCCTCGGCGACGGCGACCCCTCGCTCCCTGCTTTAGAATTACGTCGGGCCTGTCCCCTTCTACAGGCCGATTTTGGGCGAAAAATTGGAAACACTCAGAACATATTCAAAGAATGCTCCAAAATGGTCAGAACATCGCCCCCAGACTATTTTTGAATTTTCCTCCTGTAGAGGGACAGGCCCGACTTAATTTTAGAAAAGAACAGACAACATAAACGTAAACTTTTGGCGCTCCGCGCGGGTTTCTTGGATTCGCGCTGGACCCCCCTGCCTGGCGCGCGGAGCGCGCCAGGGGCGGCGCCAGAGGCGCCGCCGGGGGGCCCAGGCGCGGATCCAAGAAATCCGCGCGGAGCGCCAAAAGTTTATGTTTACATGCTTTTTTCTTCTTCGATGCTTCCTGTCCACCTTCTCTGGCCTCCTCGAGTCGCCGAAAAATCGAGGCGGAAAGTTTGGAGAACAGGTCGGGAATTCCCAGGAAGTTCCCAGCCTCCAGAGATGCTTTCCAGCGACTGCGCCTCGCCGAGGGCGTTCTGGGGGTGCCTGGATCGTCCCGAACGGCCGCTGGAGACCCGAGTATGAACCGAAAACCAAAACCTCCTCGCGTCGCGAACAAATCGCGACGCCAAACTTTGGCGTCTTGAGGCCGTCACCCGGCCCAAGGACCGCCGGAAGGCGACCGAGGATGAAAAGCCAGTCGCGGTCTAGACCTCTGGGGGTCCATGTCGCGATAAGAAACAATTTCGCGAATCTGGGATCTGACAGCCGCCGCAGCCGGCGCTTGTCGCTTATGAAAATAGCGCTCCCTACCACTACGTTCGCCTAGGAACCGAAGTCTGCTCTGGACCTGCCCCAGAAAGGCATCAAGGCAGGAACAAATGAAGCCCAGGCACGGGGAAGTACGTGTGCCTGCGTGCGTCATCGCTCCGCTGAACCCTCAGGGTATCAGTCAAGTTGCAGCCATTGCGCGCGTGACGGCATCCCAGGGAGGCGAGCGAAAATGGCGCTCCGCGTATGTAGCCATCCCGATGGACATCCCAGGCGCGCCGGAAAGTGGCGACGGTGGCTAACGGCTGTGCGTGCGACCACGGCCAGCGGAGCGAGGGCTCCCATGGGCATTCGCAAGAACGCCGACCCGCTGGAACCCTCGGGGTCGCAGGAACCAAGGCGACAACTGCACGTTCGCCAGCACCCAGCGGAGAGCAAATCTGCTTAAAACGTGGCAAGTATGCTTGGCACGCCCGGCAAGGGAAAACGTTGTACGACGCCCAGCCGCCAATGCTGCCCAACACCGAGAGCGGCCTTCGTCGGGCAGGCGACTTGTTACCCCAAGTGGACAATGTCTGCAATGACGCCGACAGCGAGTGCTGTTCAAAATGGGCAGGAGCTGCTGCCAGTCTTCGTCCCCACGCTTCTGCGACGAACTCTGAGACAGTGCTCGCACGAGTGGCAACTGCGGAGTGCGGCACGGCACGCTGAACATGTTGTGCCACACACTTTGGCCTGGCCTGATCGCTTCAACTGCTGTGGAACGTGGCATTATCCTGTCGCACAGTGGTCGTCAACGAAATGCTTCGGAATATGCCTGAAACCGATGCACGCACGCCATATCGAACATCGATCTCTGCATCATGGGATGCACACCTGGCTCGACTGTGTCACGGAGTATCCTGTTGCGCAAGCGCATTCTTCTCCCAACGCAGGGTCTTTCGAGGTTGCCCGCCATGGGCGGGAAAGGTCGCGGAGAACAGGGGGAAGCTTGCCGTTGGCAGTCTGGCGCGATAAACAGCTGACCTCGGCAAGCCGCATCCCACACGTGCTGGGGCGAGGCTGTCATCGCGAAGGGCCCGAACCTCAGGAGACTGTTTCTGCTCAGGGTCCGGCGATCACCCCCGTCACCGGGCTTGCACAACCCCCCCTCCAGGATGGGATGACCTAACCTTGCCGGTTGTGCAGCTCCGGGGTGGGGGGGCGCGGGCATGTGCAGAGCTGCCCACGGCGCGAAGGTTAGGCTATCGGCTGACCCCCTCCTCCCCCCCCCCCCCCAGGATAATCTGAGTTATCGAAGATTCCCCCCCAAACGGTCCCCAGCCTGCTGACGACGCAGACCCCCGACGTCATGATTTTTTCATTACGTCGACCCCTGGAGGTCTCGACCCATTCCCCTGGTCCGGTTTTTCATCCTGCGTCGTTTGTTGACGGTCCCGAGGGCCAGCAAGGGCCCCAGAGGCCGAAAATAAAGTCATGATTTTTTCACTACCCGAGGGGGTCTGGGGAGTCTCCCTGCGGGCCGTCTCTCCGTCCACACCCGCCTCGATCGCACGGAAAAACCTGCCGGGCCCCGCGCGACCGCGCCCGGGCGCAGCCCGCCGGAGGGCAGCAGCGGCCAGACCCCCGCGATCTCTCTCTGGGCGGGGGTCCCCGTGCAGGAGGAGGAGGACGAGGAGGAGGAGGAGGAGGAGGAGGAGGAGGAGGAGGAGGAGGAGGAGGAGGAGGAGGACAGCGGCGGGCCCCTGCGACCACCCCGCGAGCGGGAACCCGTGTGCGGCCCCCGACCCGGCGCCCTGCGGGCAGGATTCCAGCGGAGGGCGGCATCCGATGGGAGCGGCTGCGCTCTCGGGTCGGACGGCCGGGGGGGCCAACGGCTGCGGGGTTGGCGTCCCCATGCGACGGAGTCGCCAAATATTTCGAAGAAAGCGCCAGACTGCTGGGCCGACGCCTGCTGCAAATAGCAGACTCCGACCCCCCGTTGCAGCGTCCAGTGCTGCTCAAAAAGGCCCCAAGACGGCTCAAGAGGGCCCCCAAACGGCCCAGGAATCGCTCCAGATGACCCCGGAGGGCCAACAGGGCCCCCAAAGGAGCCCAAGAAGGGCAACTCGAACTGACATTTCGAGGTCTCCGCTCGAAGAGGATCCCAGAAACCGCCAGCAGGCGCCCAAGAGGGCCCGAAGTTGCCCCCCCAAAGGCAACAAAAAAACCCGAGAGGGGCTCACCCGTGGACATCGTTTTTCCTCTGGGGTCGGCGGAATGCGGAATGGCGAAAGCATTCTGAATACACAAGGTTTCGTACCACCCCTTTCCCGGTAGCATATTCTCGCCCAGCCAGTGAATTCTATGGTTTGCGGGACTCTGGGCAGGACCCAGTGGCCAACAGCGACGGGACCTGGCGGTCAGACCCAATGCTTTCCCAGACAAGGTGGCACCCTTGAGTTCAAGCACTGTTTGGGACAATGACCTCACACACTCTAACAACGCACAAATAATAAACTCAAATAGACACTGGTGCTCGCATGGGAGCGGCAGGGCGCGACACGACCGGCCGAATCGGGATCGCGAACTCCTCTTCTCCCTCCTCCCTCTTGATGGCGTCGCCATCCTCCTCCTTCTCGAACGGAGCAACAACCCTCTTAAACATAAACTCTCGGAGGTCCGCAGGGATTCCTTGAATCGGCGCTGAACCCCCTTCCTGGCAGCACGGTGCGCGCTAGGGGCGGCGCTGGAAGCGCTGCCAGGGGGGCCCAGCGCCGATCAAAGAATTCTTCGCGGAACTCTCAGAATTAATTTGCTTATGCAATTTCTTGTTCTAGAGGCTTCCTAGATGGGGTCGGAGTAGATGGGGTCGAAGGATCGTGCCGCATCGCCGATACATCGCCGATGTATCGGCGATGCATCGGCGACGTCGGCGATGCATCGGCGACGTTAGCGTGGGAAAGCACGGACTCCGCATCGAGCCGCATCGCCGATGCATCGGCGATGCGGCGCGATCCTTCGACCCCATCTACTCGGACCCCATCCAGGAGGCCAAGATCTCTTGTTCGCCAAGACTCGGAGTTCGCCAAGACTCCTGGGGACTCCAAAACCAGTGACCCTCGCGGAGCTCTGGGGGTCCACGGAGGTCCGCGGAGGCCCCTGGAGGCCACCGCCATCCCTGGAGGCGTCGGGAGGACCACCCGTGGGCCCAGACGGGGCCACAGACACCAAAAAGATGTGACAACCTCGATCTTCGAACCTCGATGATCGAACCTCGATCCTCGATCCTCGATCCTCGATCGTCGTCGTAGTCGTCGTCGTCGTCATCTTCGTAGTCGTCGTCGTCGTCGTTGTCGGCGTCGTCGTCGTCGTCTTCGTCGTCTTCGTCGTCGTCCGTCCTCCTCCTCCTTCTCCTCCTCCTTCTCCTTCTTTCCTCCTCCTCCTCCTCCTCCTCCACCTACCTCGCCTCCTCCTCCTCCTGCTCCTCCTGCTGCTCCTCCTCCTCCTCCTCCTCTGAGCCAGCGGCGCACGGCCCGCTGCTGCGCCGAAGCGGGGGCCACCCTCGAACTTGTCCACCAAGCCCTTGATGCGCGGGGACGGCGGGCGCGGCCTGGGGGGGGACCAGAGCAAAGAGCGCGATCCTGCACGATTTGCGACAACGACAGGGGCGTTGAAGGGGGGGGGGGGGCAGAAGCGTGCACCTGTCGTGCCTCGGTCGGGCCCCTTTCAGGACAAACAGAGCACCCTTCCTCCCCCCCCTCGCCCGCTCCTCCTCCTCCTCCTCCTCCTCCTCTTCCCTCCTCCTCCTCCTCCTCCTCCTCCTCCGCCTCCTCCTCCTCCGCCTCCTCCTCCTCCTCCCCCCCCATTCTCCGCCCCCCATTACGCAACGCCGGCGATTCGCGATGACGCACGTTACTGGTGACGCCACCCCCGCCCCCGGACACGTCACGATTCACGCCAGCGCCGTATGGGAATCGCCAGCGGTGGCGTACTCCCACACGGCGCTCGTGACTAACAGCCACTCCCGCGAGAGAAAGAGACAGGCGTCTTGAAAGAGAGGCGTCTTCTATTTTGCCGCCGCTTTCGGGGTCCTTGGGCTCGCCGTCAAAGACAACGACCCAGGACGGGGAGCTGGACCTTTACGGAGGATCGAGGAGGAACCTCCTCCTCCTGCTGCTCCGTCTCGGCGTCCGGCCCACAGTGAGCCTCCTCCTCCTCCTCCTCCTCTCCTCCTCCTCTTCCTCCCTCCTCCTCCTCCTCCCTCCTCCTCTTCCTCCTCCTCCTCCTCCTCCTCCTCCTCCTCCTCCTCCTCCTCCTCCAGGCACCCACGCGTCGCCTGAAGGCGCTGAAGCCACAGATGAAGCGTGCCAGGGCGGGGGCACGCCGGTGCCACCGTGCAGCCCGGAAGCTGCCCCGCCGTGCTGGGCTCTGGCTGCACCCGCGCTTCGAGCGGCGAGATGTGGGCGGCAAAGGTCGGCATCCCCAAGTTTTGATCTCCGCATGCGGGCATGCCCCTGCATTTTGTTCGCCCGTGTCACAGTTGTGTGATATGGCCACACGGGTGGAATCTTGCCAGACTCCAACAGGATTCCGCCTCCTTCTCCTCTCGGTTGCCCCGCCGCTCTCCCTCCTGTTCCTCCAGCTCTTCTCGGTTGTCATGACCGAGATGGGCACGGGGAAAGTGGGCACGATGCCCAACAGCAAACGTTGTCCCAAACCGAAAGCGACCGCTGTTGGGCAACCGACTTTCTATCGCCAGTGGACAACGTCCGCGGCGACACTGACAGCGAACCCTGGTCAAAATGTACAAAAACTGCCGTCGCTCTTTGTCACCAGTGTTTCCGTAAGTACCCGTATCGATCATCCAAATCCTCATTCAGAAAATCGATGAAGAGGAAGAGGAGGCCGGATCGAGAAGCCATGTAGGTCGCCCCTCTGCTATCGTCGATGAGGGCGGTGTGCTGCTTCACTGTACGACTGGCCCTTGCAGGTGGCTGGAGGGGATGCTGTGCCGCGGGAGCTTGTGCAATGTGGCGGTTGCGGCGGTGTACAAGCATCCGTCTCACATGGGACACGGGTTCTGCGCGAGCGAGGGGGCAAACACTTTATTTCGGGAGCTATGGGTTCTGCGCGTGCGAAGGGTCCCTCACTTTCTTTCACGAGCTGCAGGCGGGTGCCAACGTTAAGTCGGGCGTGTCCCCCTGCAGGCGGATTCGACGAAACATGAAAAACAGTCCAAAAATACCCCACAATGATCAGAAATAGTCGAAACATCGTCCCCAGACTTTCCATACTATCTTGGAATATTCCTCCTGTAGAGGGACAGGCCCGACTTGATGCCAACGTGCCGTCGCGCGGGTCGCAGGCGGAGACGCCAACCTCCCTGGGTCAGGCCACTGGGCCGCACACCGTCCCGTGCGTGGGGCGGATGCTGCTGAGGTGTGTGTGGGGCGCCAGGGCATACCAGCGGGGGGAGCGGGGCGGAAGCGACTCACGTCCCACAGGTGCTCCATGCGCACGGCGGTCGGCTGGCGCTAAGGTCGCGAGCAAGGGGTGCGGCCATGCTCTGGGCGCACGTCGCCGTCGAGATGCCCACCACGAGCGGGAGTTCCGCATGGAATGGATTGGCGGGGGAGGTGGAGGAGGCGTTCGTCTGCGCGGACACAAAGGCACCGGTCACGAGGTGAGCGCGACGACCGCATGCCCTCGGAGCGGCGCGAGCTGGGGAGCGGCACGCGGGCCAAGTGCCACCGGGTGGTGTCGGGTCTCGGGGCGATGCCCTGCAATCCGGCCGTGCAGCATCTGTGGCCGGTAGCCGTGGCCGGGGTCTGGTGTCGATGCGCGGTATCGAATATCAGGCCCATGCCCTGGCATCTGGCCGTGAGATGCCACCCGCCAGTGGTTGACATGAATGCTCGCGCGATGCGCGGGCATGACCTGCAACGACACGGGGCGCGAGCTAAACAGTGTTCTTTCTTTTCGTGCTGCTGTTGTTTCCCCTCGTTCTGTTGCTGTCCCGCCTGCGCCGTATAACGAAACAAAAACGAAAACGGCACACGGCTCCCCTCCCTCCCTCCTCCCTCGAGGCCGCGTTCGCATGTATTTCCCTCCTCCTGCGGCAAATTGATTTGAGCTTTCCGTTGCCCGGACCGCCTGAGCGCGCGTGCGGACTGCCTCTGCCGCGCTGCGACGTTAAAAAGTGTACGGTCGGGGGCTTTTGCTTAGCGTGTCGCACTGGCGTCCCTGGCGACACGCTATGCTTTGCAAGCGGATAACATGTCGCGCCACTCCGCGGGGCGGAAGGCTGGGAAAAGAGGTCAGCAGCCTGACCGGGTCTACTGGGTATCGCCTGTGTGGTCATGGGCTGGGTCTCGCTCTGTGGTTGCGGCGGAGCTGGGAGAGGCAGAGGCGCTGATGAGCTACTCGCCATGGTCAGCTACAATGGCCTGCAAGGGGACCCGGGAGGCCAGTAACGTGAGGAGCTTCTGGGTCTTGGTAGGGCTGAAAGGAAGGCAATGTTGTATGTCAGGGTTTTGCGGCAGGCCGAGGCGCAGCCGGAGGAGGGTGTCCGCTGACGTGGCCAGGCGGCGGGGGAGCCGGCGTCGCCGCTGAGACTCGCTCCTTCGCTTAACCACGGCAGGGACGGAAGAGTCCTTTTTCTCAGGGCTCCGCATCTTGGGTCTTGAGCCAAAGTGCAGCATCACGGCGAAAGTTGGCCTGAAGCTGCAAACCTAGAGTGCAAATTACATTGCAACCCATCCCTGGAGGCGGCGTCGCCGCTAAGCCTCCAGAGATCTTGAGACACGTGACCAAAGTGCAGCGTCACGGCGAAAGTTGCCCTGAAGCTGCCGACCTAGAGTTTGTTTGCTTGTGACGCGATAGAACAACTATGCGTACGGCGCCCCAACAGTGCGTACGGCAAGCGTGTAAGACAAAATGTTGCCGGATCGGCTCGCCTTGAGCCTTGAGCCAATCCATCCCTGGGGGCGGCGTTGCCGCTAAGCCTCCAAGGATCTCGAGACACATGGCGGCGCAAGCGTCAACATGCGTGATCCCACTTTGTGGGATAAAAGTCTTCCAACAATCTACCACAAGCAACAGCGATAGCTCGGGATCTCTGGGAACGGGCGGTCCAGAGTGGCGAAAGCCCAAAGTCAGGCCCCTGCCAAAAACAGAGGGAGACGAGGAAAGGAGGGGAAAGTTGGCGTGCAATGGAGCGGGCGGCCACTCTGCTGAAGGGGCGGATCCCCCGTGCCAGAGAGGCCCGGCCCGGCCGACCGGCCGGAGAATTCGGCTTTTCTCTACCCGGCGGCCCGGCCGACCGGCCGGAGAATTCGGCTTTTGTCTCCCCGGCGGCCAAACCGTATGTATGCCCTGGGATGACCTCCGGCTCGGAGTCCCCGCTCGGAGAAAACAGTTGGTGCGCTAGCGTCATATAAAGGTTTACCGGCGGCGGAGTAGGGGCATCCACCACCTATTTTGCACACCCCCCCCGCTAAGCGCCAACGTCATCAGTGCAAAACACAAGCTCGAAGTGCAAAATGCAAAACAGTTAAAATACGACCAAACTGCATCAGCTCCGCTCGCCTGAGTGAGGACACCGGTCATTTCACCAGGCTTTCGATGGTGATGTTGCCGATCCTGATGTTCATGAGCTCGCGGGCCTGAACGAACTTGGCCGGCAGCAGCGCCTTGGTGAACCCGTCGACCTTGTGGGTTGCCGTCGGGTGGTGCTCGACCTCGATCTCGCCGTCCTTCCAGAGCTCGTGGACGACGGAGATCGCGCACTTGTGAGCGCGCTCCAAGTGCCAGAGCTTCTTGGAGTATCCGCGCTCAACGGCCGCAATGGCCTGCGTGTTGTCCACCAGCACGACGATGTTCGTTTTCACGCCCATCTTGGCCAGCATGTCGGCCATGGGGAGCGCGTCCATGCGGACGTTCTTGGACATCGCCAGCGTCTCGGACTCCGCGGTCGCCGAAGACGTCGCCGTCTGTTTCTGGCTGGCCCAGCTCAGAGGCCAACTATGCTCAGAAGTCGGCGCGAAGAGCTCGAGGAAGAGGCCGCTGGTGGAGCGCGTCGTCTCCGCGTCGCCGGCCCAATCCGCATCGGACCAGGCTCTGAGCTGGAGCTCCTCGGAGTCGTCCGGGCTCAAGAGTGCGACGAGGGCGACGTTGCCGGCGCTGTGCAGGTAGCTGTGCAGCCTCACGAGCGCGACGTCGTGGGTGGTTGACCACTTGGTCACAAGCTGGCACAACCGCTGCACCGCGACCGAGATGTCAGGTCGCGCCACCCGGCTGAGGAAAAGCACAGTGGCGACATAGCTTGCGGCGGTCGTCGCAAAGGCTCCCGGCATGGCACCAGGGTCCGCCCACTGCTCGGGCGACACGAAAGGGCTGGTCACCTTGCCGAGGCGCATCTGGGGCGCGGTCCTGGCCATGTCCTCCACGAGCTTCTTGACGGCGTTCTTCACGTAGTCGTTCATGTTCGTGACGAGCGGGCGCGGCGCGCGCGGGCGTCTGGAATCGCACTGGGGGATGTCGCAATGCGCCCCCAGGTACCTGTCAAGGTCCGCCTCCGGCTCCTTGAACGACACGTGCTTCTCCAGCTCCCCCCAAAGTCGCCTGGTGGCCCCCGGGGGGGAAACCATCAGGAGGTCGTCCTCGTAGACAATGAGGATGGCTCCAGTCGCAGAGCGCGCCGAAGAAGTAGGGCCAGATGCCTCAAGAACACCGCTGTGGATGTACACGCCTGGGAACTCTTTTCCGGCTGGTGCCCATCCAAGCTGGCGCAAGATGGAGTCGAGTTTCGCCTCCCAGAGCGCGCCGGCCTCAGGGTGGCCGTAGAGGGCCTCGACGAGCCTGCAATGCGGCCTGGTGTACTTCGGCTTCTTGCGGGCGCTGCCGTCGAAGTACCGGAGTCCAGCCACCACGCCTCGGGCAACTCGACGAAAGTCGGCACCCGGCTCGTCGAGTCGATGAGCGCCTGCAGGTAGGCCGACTCCGCATCACGGAGCTTGTTGTCGAAACCCTTGAGGACTCCAGCGGCAATCGCCGCGCGAGCCGCGGCGAAAGAGGCAGGAGCGTTGGCGACCTCTTCGAAGAGTTCCGCGGCCGAGGTCCCGGTTTTGGTCCGGACGTTGGACCCCTGGAAGACCGCGCGGGCCATCCACTGCTGGTGCTCCTTGCTGAGCTCTTCGCCCTTGATCCCCAAGATCGCGAAGACCCGGCCAAACATGGCCTCAGCCAAGTTCGGATCGCGGAGGAGGTCCGTCAAGGAGTGCACATCGCTCTCATCCCACACTCCTTTGTCATGCATGCTGGACCTCTCTTTGGCGATGGCGGCGCGGGCTTCGTCGCAATCGGCCTCGGGGCTCCTGGGTTTCACGACTCGCGTGACCATGGCGCACCAGAATGGCCTCGAAGGCGGCGCCGAGGCGTCGTGGCCACGGTGGTCGGCGCCAGAGGCCTCGGGGGCGCAGCCCTTGAAGAAGCTCCTGAACCTCGGTGCTGGCGCGGCCGGTCGACTTACCACGCCCCTGGCAAGCCAGAAAGGTCGCGCGAACGTGTCCGTGTAGATGGCGGAGTCCTTGGCGAACTTACCCCGGCACCACGCGAACTCCTTCTGGCCCTCGTGCGGGTCGGAGGTGAACGCGCTGAACGCCGTGCGGACGTGCGCGTCGGTGGAGTAGATACACCACTTCTTTCGAGTCCACACCACCTTGCTATTGATGGTGTGGCTGAGGCCAACAGCCGAGGTGGCAACGGCAATGAAGCCGTCGCCCTCGTCAGCCCCATGGCACAGCGCCTGAACTGCAGGGTGCGCCCACAGGTCGGAAGTGGTCGGCCATTCCCAGACAAAGTGCTGGCCCATGTTGCGGACGTACCTGCAAAGCGCCACTCCGTGCGAGATCAACTTCTCGGTGAGCTCGGGGTCGCCAGTCTTGATGCCCTTGGACTCGTTGACGTGCTTCCACGGGCAACCGGCCGTGCAAGGGATAGCGCTCCAGACCGCAACCCGCATCTTGTGCTTGTGTGCCGATCTGGCCAAGTGCTTTAGGTGCTTGAGGACGGCGGTGTCCGTGAAATCGAAGTCGGTGGTCACTCGGGTCGCCAGGGTGCGCCTCGGGGCGTGCTCCGAGAGCTTGGAGTTCTCCGTGCAACAAAGCTCGATGAACAACTCGTCGAAGTCGCCACTCAAGATCGCAGGGAACGCCTGCTGGCACAGCTGGTCCTTCGACTTCGGGGCGAGCACCCTGCCGGCGTCGTTGGGGTCAGCGGGCGCCGCGGGCCCTTGTGGAGGAAGGGCAGCCTCAACGGAACGGCGAGCAGGCATGGACGGCCTGGCGCCAGGGGCGCCAACGTAGTCAGACTCGAGGTCGCCACCGACGAAGCCAGTGAAGCTGCAGAGCACGCGTGGCGCAGGACCTGCGGGCTTGGCCTTCTTGGACTTGTGCTCTGCCCAGGCCTTCCGCCTAGCTTCCTGGGCCGCGAAGCCGACAGGGTCGTCGGATTTCCAAGCGTTCCTGGCAGCTAACCGGTTGGCCGCATTCAGGGACATCCATACCTCGGGCTCGAAGGCCGGCGGGTGGGTGGACCACGGCGGCGTCCAGACAAATCTGCGGATCACGCCGTCCGCGCCGAAGTCGTCTCGCCTCCAGCCGGCCGGGGGAGCGCGACCTGGTCCAGGGACCACCTCGGTGTCGATGGCAGCGACAGGCGCCGGCTGTGCAAGCTCAGCAAGGTCTGCATCCACGGGCGCTGGGGGAGGCGCCAGAGATCCGAGGAAGTTGCCCCCCTCCGCGTCGATCTCCTCCTGGTCCTTGGGGCCGAAAGTGGTCCTGCCAGTCCATCGGGCATGGAGTGGACGATGCGGGCTCGGATCCCGAAGCCAATCGTCTTCTATGAGGTCGGACTGGCCGTTGTGGTAGTCCACCTTAGTCAATCGCCATCCTCCGAGCTCGTCTGCGTCGGGAGCTCCATCAACGTCGATCGGGGTGAACATGGCCACGCGCGGGACTACGTGGACCCGGTGCCACAAGTCATCCTCCCGCTCCCAAAAGTCTTCCTTGGGGTCGTCGGCCGGAGTCGGGGGGGCAGTTCCCGCCTTCAACTCGACCAGACACAGGGAGCCAGGCCGAAAGACGTAGCTGGTCTTCACGGGGACCCAGGCGTGCCGACTCAGGCGGTTCACGACGAGCTCCTGCGGGTCCAAACCCACGCGGGGCGAAGCTGCGACCTGCGTGCGGACTGCGTCAGCACGGAGACCACCAGCATCCGGGCACGCGACGTCGAGCACCCGGTTGTTCCACTGCAAGGTCGCCTTGATGCTCAGCGGAGCGTCCATGGGCGGCAGCGGCCGGCGTCCGCTTCCGCGAGGCGGCGGAGCAGAGGCCTCAGGGGCCGGCTCGGCGGCTAGCTCCGGCACCGGCGAGACAGACACGGTAGGGGAGTCCGGGTCGAGGGCCATCATGATGTCCATCGCGCGCTTCTTCCGCGAGTAGTGCGGTGCATTCTCGGACAGGTCGCCGTCGAAGGTGAAATCGTACCGCTCGGCGTCGTCCTCGCAGGCGTCCTCCGTGACGATGAGCTCACCCGGGGCACCGATGTCGTCGGGGGCGATCGGCGCTGGGAGGTTCAGGTCCTCGAAAGCGCCGTGGGCCATCAAGCGCTGCTTGAGCGGGAACGCGGGCTGGTCGGGGAAGACCACGTCGGTCACCGTGCGCACGCTGACGCGCGAAGCGCGGCCGTCGTCCATGATCGCGGCCAGGGGCGCCACGAGGTAAGACTTTGCCCAAGTCTCGCCGGGGCCGGCGGCGACGCCCGCGAAGACGGCGGGGACGAGCCTGCTCTTCCATTTGGTCGAGCCCAAGTGCTTCAGCTCCGCCTTGGTGGTCTTGGAGCCGGCCGGCGGGCGGTAGGTCACCAGGCCGCCGGAGGGGAACACGGTGTATGGTGCTCGTTCCCCAAACCTGCGCTGCCAGGGCGTGAGGCCGTCCTTCCCGACGTGCGTGGCGTTGTAGGCGGTGGCCCACGCTCGAATCGCCAGCGGCCGCCAGCTCTCGGAGAAGCCGGACTGGTGGAGCAACGCACGCGTGCCCTCGACGCTGAGGCGGTTCATGCGCTCCGCCTTGCCGTTGGCCTGTGGCCGGTACGGCGTCGACCGGTAGTGCGCTAGAGTGCGCTGCTCGCGAATCTGCCTGGCGGCAGCGCGAAACTCGGGAGCGTGGTCGCTCCACCAGCGCTTGATCTTCTCGGGCGTGTCGTCGAAGCGCCTGACGCTGTCCAACACTGCGCTGGCGTCGCGGCGGACCGCCGGGTAGCTCGAAAAGAAGCCCGTGCCCTCATCGGTGATGTTGAGCGCGTAGGGCGCGGCCCTGCGGGCGTCGCTGCCGCGCTCCATCTCGACGTGGTCCATGTGGGCAAGGGCGCCGAACACCCCCTGCTCCTTGGGCGTCGCGTGCAGCTCAATGGCTGGTGCTGGTCTCCTCCCGCTGCGGCTCTTCGCAGTCTTGCCGAAGTCGCACCCGGGGCATGCACCCGGCGGGCAGCGCGGAAGATGAGCTGCAAGGTGAGCTCGCGACAGCGGGTCGTTGTGGAAGGTGGCGTCCATGGCGTCGTCGGGCAGGCACTCGCCGCACTTGAGAGGGATCTCGTCGGGGTCGATCTGCTGGTCGTAAGTTGTCAGACCGCCCTCCAGGTCGCGAATGAAAGCACGAGTATCACCGCTGGGTCCGATGCTCTCGTGCTCGGGCACGTGCTCCACGATGGGCGGGTCGCCGGCGATCCAGATGTCGTCGCCCAGGCCTGCGGTCTCGGGGGCCACCGCCACCACCTCGGGGACCACCACTTCAGAGTCTTGTTCAGCATCCTCGGGGGCTTGGTCAGCATCAGCTGCTCGAGAGGGGCTCTGCTCCGAAGACCCAGCGGCCGGCATGCAGGCGACTTGGCGTCGCTCTCCCTCGGGGCGCGCGAACCCTGGACGTACCATGGGCACGTAGTGGTCAACCCTCACGTCGAGGGGAGTCCCGTCAGGGGCGAGCCACACGGGCTTGTCCTCGAACGGATTCCAGGTGAACGTGTACCCGTACTCGGCGCAGCGCCTGCCGATGGACAGCGCGTTGATTGTGCCTGGCAGGACGACTGCCTCAGTGTCCTCGCCGAGCCGCTCAAGGCCGACAACTGCGGTGGTGTCGGGCGCGATGGTCCCGTTCGCAGTGGCGAGCTGGTGGAGGTCGGTCCTGTGGTGGGCGTCGCCGAACTGCATCGCGGTCTGGGCGTCGAGTAGGTCGTCGCCAACGCCCGCGTCGGCCACGGCCCACTCAGCGTCGTTAGCGGTGGCACTCGGCATGGCGACTCCGGTAGCGCCAGCGGCCTCATCGGCATGGCGAGCCACTCTGGCTGGAGCCGCCTTCTCGGTGGCCTTGGGCGCGTGCCTGAACTCGCACTTGTCGCCCTTGTCGCACTTGCCGGACTTCTGGAAGGCGGCGCACAGGGGCTTGTCCTGGGACACGTCGGGCATGCCACCGGCCGCAGGGGCCTTCTTCTTCTCTGCAGCCTTCTTCTTCTCGGCAGCCTTGGCCTTAGCCTCGGCCGCCTTGGCGGTAGCTTTGGCCTTGGGCTCTGCGGCAGCCTTCGACGTGACAGCTGCAGCCTCGGTCCTGGCCTTCTCGCCAATGCCAGCTGGTGGCATCGGCGCACCGGGGTCGTGCGACCATCTGCACCTGCCCCCCAAAGCGGCCAGAGCTGTTGGTCCGGAAGAGGATGCAAGCCCACGTCTGCTTGCCCTTATCCTTGCCCTTGCCGGTGTCCCCCTTGCCACCTTTGCCGGCTCCTGGGGCGGCGATCTTCTTGGGCACCGCGTCCTGGAGCTGCTTGGAGGCCGCCACTCGCTTCTTCCTGGCCACCTCGCGCCGGGCGCGGTTGTATAGCCAAGAGATAGTGCGCTCCTCGGAGCCCTCCTCGGCGCCGTCGAAGGTAACGAAGGTCGGTGCGAGGTCACGGCATAGTCGAAGCTGCGGCTCGACGATTGCCATGATGAGCTCCTCGTCTGGCTGCCGGGTGTAGTCCAGCATGTCCAGGTACGCCTCCAAGTCGCCGTGTAACGTCAAGTTCACGAACGTGGCGACGTCGATGCTCGACTTCTGGCTGGACTCGATGCGGAACTGCTCGAAGAACATCTTGAGCGCACATCGACCCGAAAGGGGGTGCCCCCTCGCCGTCAACTGCTCCTGGTAGGTCAAGAGCTGGCGCTTGAGGGAAACGGTGGCGATCTGCAAGATGGAGTCGGCCAGCGCTGTGTCCAAGTCGCCCCAATTGCGCTGGGCGGACGAGAGGTGCTCGAGCCGCTCCCGGGCGACCGCCGGGTCCTCAGCCAGCTGCAGCCAGCGGAGGGTTCTGCGCTTAGAGCGCTTGGAGGCCTTGCAGACCTTCGAGTACAAGCTCTGGATCCACTGCCGTAGCCCAGAAGCCTGCGGGTTCGGGTCGAGCTTCAGCTCCTTCACCGCGCCCTTCCTCCGCCGAGCGTCGTCCTCATCACTGGGCGAAGAAAGCGACGCAGAGCGCTGATGCGCCTGCTGCGCCCCGGCGGCGGCTGCAGCTCCACTCCAAGGAGCGTTGAAGTCATAGCCGTCGAAGTTCCACCCGTCCACGGGACCGCCATCATCAGGAGGTCCGCCGTCTGGGGGTCCATCCGGCGGTCTTCCGCCACTGTGCCGCTGCCGCTGCGGCGGCGGCGGCCCGGGCGGGCGGCGAAGCGGAAGGAGCGAATGAATGCCCCCCGCTGCGCCAGGCTCAGATGGCGGCCGGCTGCCGCCGGGGGCTGACGCTGCGGCGGTCTGCGCGAGCATCTGGCCCATGCTCATGCCGCAGCCCCGGCCGGGTAAAACGCCAGCGGCCGAAGCAGGTGGGCGCGGTGGCGGCGCGATCGCGGCCGATCCCAGCGCGCCCAGGGCAGAGGCGTCAAGAGCCCGCCCTGTCAGCATGAAATTGTGCGCGTGCTGCTCGCCGAACTGCCCCTCGATGGACTCGCGCTGTGCACTTGCGCCGGCAGCCCGGGCTTGGTCTCCAAGAAGACGTTCGGGATGAGTAGCAGGCCAAGCTCCCGCGCCAGCTTGCGGCTCACGGGGAGGAGCACCACCTTCACCAACTGCAGGAACTTGGCGACGCGCTTCAAGTCCAGGTTGTGGGCTACGTCGGTGCTGAGAGGCCTCCGCCAGCGCGCGCCAGTTGGCAGCGCACTGGAATTCTGCGCGAGCCACCTGCCCCTCGGCTTCGGCGGCTCGGGTCTCGGCCATGAGCCTGTCGCGGAGTGCGTGCTCGACGGCCTCGTGGTCCTTGCCCAGCCTCCTGAGCTTGCGCCCGGAGTCGTCAATGACGCGTTGGGCACCAGCTCGAAGGGCAGCGAAATCCCGCTCGTAGTCCGCCAGCTTGGCCGCTTGGACCGCGACCTGGGCACGGAGCCCGGCTGCCTCAGCGCACTGCGCGCGGAGCTCAGAGACCGCGGAGGCCTCCAAGTGCAATCGAGACTCGGCTTGGCGGAGGCGGAGCGCCTGCCGGGACTCCGCGCGATGGGCAGCTTGCTCGGCGTCCCGAGCTGCCGCCGCCGCGCCCTGGGCATCGGTGATGGCCTGGAGCGCCTCCGCCTTGAGTGAATTGATGGCGGACTCGGCGTTGGCGTTCACCTCGGCCTCGGCCCGCCTCGCAGCCCGAATCGAAGACTCAGCCTGCTCACTGACCTCCCGGAGCTGTCCAAGATGGGCCAGGTTGGCCACATTCAACTGGGCAGTGCGGGCGGCCAGCTCGTCATGCATGCGGCGGCCGGCAGCGATGAGCTCCTCGGCCTCCGTCTCCACGACGTCGTTGATCCTCTGCCTTGCCGCGGCGTCGAGGTGCTGCTCAGCATCCAAGAGGCGAGCCGCGTACTCGGGGCGGATGGAGTCCTGCTGAGCCTCGGCGTGCATGAGCGCGCCGACAAGCTCATCCCTCATCTCAGCCTGCTCTGCTCGAACGATGTCGGTCGCGCGGGCGGTCATCGCCTCGGTGCGGGCCGAAAGCGTTCGCATCATCTGCGCCTCCAGGACCTCCTCATGCGCCATGGCCCTCCTCTCCAATTCGTTCTCGTCCATGACGGCCTCGAGGGCCGCTGCGAGTCCGTCAGCCTCCATGGTCCCGGACTCGTGGGTATGAGCAGGAGCCTCCGGGGCGCGCTGAACAACCTGGGCGTCAAGGTGTGCACCGTGATCGCGATCACCAGGATGATATCCGGCAGCATCATGGGCTCGCTGGGGCCGGCCGCGATCGCGGCTCCTGTCGAGAAGTGCTGGCTCAGCTTGTTGAAGTACCTGTGCACGCAGACGATGATGCCCGCGCTCGGCCTGGCCGTTGGCCTGCGGCCGGTATGCCGACGCCCGCTCAAACTCGGCAGGAATTTGGAGCCCAAGCCTACGAAGGTCCACTAGTGCTTGTGCGGGTATCTCTGGGAGAGGCTCTGGGGCACCAGGGACAGACCCGTCGGGAGCTCGCCCGACGACTGCATGGGCTGCATTCGCCCTCTCATTGTAGTCGTGGGTGGTGTCGAGCTCTGGGCTTCCAGCAAGCTGGTGGTCGTAGTCCAGAGTAGCGTCAAGCTCTTCATAATCCAATGTCTCATCCAGGTCTCCAGCTCCAGCCGCATCAGCACTTCGGCTGACAACCTCAGCAGCCTCACCGGGTCTACTGGGTATCGCCTGTGTGGTCATGGGCTGGGTCTCGCTCTGTGGTTGCGGCGGAGCTGGGAGAAGCAGAGGCGCTGATGAGCTACTCGCCATGGTCAGCTACAATGGCCTGCAAGGGGACCGGGGAGGCCAGTAACGTGAGGAGCTTCTGGGTCTTGGTAGGGCTGAAGGGAAGGCTATGTTGTATGTCAGGGTTTTGCGGCAGGCCGAGGCGCAGCCGGAGGAGGGTGTCCGCTGACGTGGCCAGGCGGCGGAGGAGCCGGCGTCGCCGCTGAGACTCGCTCCTTCGCTTAACCACGGCAGGGACGGAAGAGTCCTTTTTCTCAGGGCTCCGCATCTTGGGTCTTGAGCCAAAGTGCAGCATCACGGCGAAAGTTGGCCTGAAGCTGCAAACCTAGAGTGCAAATTGCATTGCAACCCATCCCTGGAGGCGGCGTCGCCGCTAAGCCTCCAGAGATCTTGAGACACATGACCAAAGTGCAGCGTCACGGCGAAAGTTGCCCTGAAGCTGCCGTCCTAGAGTTTGTTTGCTTGTGACGCGATATAACAACTATGCGTACCGGCGCCCCAACAGTGCGTACGGCAAGCGTGTAAGACAAAATGTTGCCGGATCGGCTCGCCTTGAGCCTTGAGCCAATCCATCCCTGGGGGCGGCGTTGCCGCTAAGCCTCCAAGGATCTCGAGACACATGGCGGCGCAAGCGTCAACATGCGTGATCCCACTTTGAGGGGTAAAAGTCTTCCAGCAATCTACCACAAGCAACAGCGATAGCTCGGAATCTCTGGGAACGGGCGGTCCGGAGTGGCGAAAGCCCAAAGTCAGGCCCCCGCCAAAAACAGAGGGAGACGAGGAAAGGAGGGGAAAGTTGGCGTGCAATGGAGCGGGCGGCCACTCTGCTGAAGGGGCGGATCCCCCGTGCCAGAGAGGCCCGGCCCGGCCGACCGGCCGGAGAATTCTGCTATTCTCTCCCCGGCGGCCCGGCCGACCGGCCGGAGAATTCGGCTTTTGTCTCCCCGGCGACCAAACCGTATGTATGCCCTGGGATGACCTCCGGCTCGGAGTCCCCGCTCGGAGAAAATAGTTGGTGCGCTAGCGTCATATAGAGGTTTACCGGCGGCGGAGTAGGGGCATCCACCACCTATTTTGCACAAAGAGGCACGTGGGCGCCAGGGCGCCGGAAAGTGGATAGCGTGTCGCGCCGAGGCGTGGTGGGCCAGAACTGGTGGAGCGGCACGCTATCCAGAAGTTCCCGTTCGCAAAAGGTTGCAAGAGAGCGGCAGGCACGTAGGGGCGGCGGAAGACGATTGGCTGAAGACGGTTCGAGCGGATATCGAAGTCAGGGGGCCGAACAGTCATTCACTGTCCTTGGGGGCGTGGCTGAAGTGGGACTGCCCGATGCGGATTATTGTTGTTGTTGCTGCTGTTATTGTTGTTGCTGTTGCTGTTGTTGCTGTTGTTGCTGTTGTTGCTGTTGTTGAGCTCACATCTCTGAAGCATAATTATTGTTGATCCCCCCCACCGGTGCATACTGTCTTTTCTCAGTCAAAACGTGCCCCTCGACGCTCGCAACCTGTTGTTTGACAAAAAAAATCTTGATGGTCAAACTGGGCCCCTGGCCTCCCGGACTACAACAACAACGGCTCCCGCCTGAGACTTCCTCCAAATGTACTCAGGACCCCTGCCCCTCCAGTCTGAGTTTTCCTCACAATTTACTCAGGAAGAGCGCTCCCGCTTGAGATTTCCTCACAATCCAGTCCGGGTCAAGCTGCGTTATTGCTCCCCCGGACTACAACAACAACGGCTCCCGCTTGAGACTTCCTCACAATTTATTGAAGAATCGCCTTCTCGCTTTGGACTTCTGGGCAATTTACCACCGAACCGCGGCTCCCGCCTGAAACTTCCAGACAATGTACTATAGAATCGTATTATATCATCGCGCTCTCGCTTGGGACTTCCTCGCAATTTACCACCGAAGCGCTTCGCTTGATATTTTCTCACAAATGCATCCAGATGCCGGTCCTCGACACTCAGGAATCGCGCCCCCGCTACAGATTGCCTCGTGGTTCAAGCAGGACTCACGCTTCAACGACCCGCCCGCTCGACCCGCCCGTTGGGGCCTGCCCGCCCGACCAACCCGTTAATGACTGCAGTCGCCGCTCGCCCTTCGCCCGCCTTCGATGCCCCTCGCTGCCCGTACTGGCTCCGCGGTCGCCTTCGCTCGCTGCCCTTCGTGGCCCCGTTGCTGCCCTCAGTGGCCCCGTCGCTGCCTTTTGTGGCCCCGCGTTATATGCCCTTCGAGGCCCCCGCTCGCACGCGCCCGTCGTGGCCCCATACGCATGCCCTTCGTAGGCCCGCTGGCTTTTCTCACGATTTACTTGGGAATCGCGTTATCGCTCGAGACTTCCTCGCGATTCATGCAGGACCCACGCTTCAGCAACCCGCCTGCTCGACCTCGTCGCTTGGGCCCGCCTTCCCGACCTGCCCGCCATGGGTCTGCCCACCCGATCTGCCCGTTTGGTTATACCACTTGTTTTCTGCTCCTTGCCCCCCTCCTGCTAATTTGTCTCGTGCTCCATTCCTCTCACTCCCCCTTTCACCCGTCCTCTCTTCCCTTGTTTAAGGGGCTGCATTAAATACACGTGGCAGGTGAGGAAGATATACCCGCAAAGGGGTACGATCGAAGACGACGAGGGCGGGTACCGAGGGTTTGGGATATACATATTGATTGGCACGTGAGCAGAGAATGCTGCTGTTGTTGTTGGTGGTTTTTGTTTGTTGTTGCTTGGCGTCGTCCCCCCCGCGACCCGGCCCGCGACCCACCCGCGACACACCCGCGACACACCCGCGACCCAACCCGCAACCCACCCACATGGCTTTAACAACAAATCGGAACCTGCGGCGGGCCCGTTGTGGAACTCGGAAACAATCAGGCGCCTGCGGCGGGCTTCTTCAGCCGTGCAGACTGCAGACGTTCCCGCCGCCCTCTCACTCTTATCCGCGACTGCGGGGGGCTACGTAAAAACATAGGGGCGACCCTGCCGAAAACGGTCCGATCGGCAACAAAGACACTACGGCATCGTGTTTGGAGACGAAAGCGTAACTTGAGCGAGGGGGCGAGGCGGGCCCCGCACCGAACCGCTCCGGGTGAGACGGGAGGGCTGTGCTCACAGGCACGTGCGATAAGGGGGGGGGGCAGGAAGAGGGGCGGTGGGCGACAACTGGCGCTAGCGCGCATCCTGACGCGACCAGGGGGAGGGGGGAAGGGGATGGACGATCTCGTCTGCGGCGGAGCGGGCGCGGCCGAATCCCAGCCCCGGAAGAGGGGACGGACGAGGGGGGTCCTCCTCCTCCTCCTCCTCCTTCTCCTCCTCCTGGGGTGCCGAGCCGAGGCCTGAAGGCGGGGGAAGAGGGGCACTCGGGACGAAAGAGGGGAAGGGGGAGGGCAGGAGAGGACGATGAACAGGCTGGAGGTGCCTTAGACAAGCTCGGGTGAGACTGTGTGGTCGCAAGCGCTTCCAAGCTCTCCGCTCTATGAATGGTCTTGGTGCCAGCATGCGTGCGCGCGTGCGCATGCGGCGCGTGCAACCGTGCTGCACATACGCGGGTGACTCCTCATGGAAAATGCGCGCCCTTGTGCTCGACGTCTGAGGCGGAACACGCTCCCACTGGTCACTCTAGTCGTGCCCCTGCGCCGTGGCGCCAGCGACGCCAGGTCAAACAATCGCGTTCGCGCACATCTGCTTCTGCCTGCAACCTCGCAGCCTGAAGGATGCCCCATGGTTCTGTGGCAACTCCGGAAGCCGTCCATGTCATCATGCTGGCTCTTGCGGATCGACGCTGACCGACGCGAATCGACCTTAATCGACATGAATCGGCGCTCATCGACACTAAGTACTCGGCGCTTCCTCATCGACTACCAAACGCTAGCGCACGCTGAATGCTTTCTAAAAGCGGAATTGCGATGACACAAGATGGGTGGCGACATACGAACCCTACCCCCATCAACCATCGATGATCCTAAATCGGTGTGAGGCGGGTATCGGGTTCGAATTTCGCCACGTGTTCGACGCATTCCGAGCCCTACCCCCGCCGCCCACCGAGTTGCCTGAACCGTTGATCGGCGAGGACAGGGTTCTGAACACTTTTTTGGGGTGGAGGGCTCAAGGTGAAATCCACATGGGACTTCGCACATCGAAAATGAATCCGTCTTGTGATTCACCTTCTGCAGATTCAAGCCTCGAAGACCAATCGAAACGGCATTTCAGATCTCACCCTTTGTCCTCCACCCAAAACATTGGATGCTCGTTCTGGGGACCTTCCTGGAGCCACTCGCTCCACTCGTGCGTCGAAGCTGCGTCGAACGTCAGTCGAGTTGGGTCGACCCTGAGTCGAGCCTGAGTCGAACCTGAGTCGAACTTAAGTCGAACCTGAGTCGAACCTGAGTCGAACTTTAAGTCGAACTTGAGTCGAACTGGGGTCGAACTGGGGTCGAACAGATCCGTCAGGTGGGCTCCAGGAAGGTCCCCGAAACGAGCATCGAAGAAACAAATGCGCCGGGGGGTCGGACCTCGCCGCCGACAAAAGGCTCCCAGGAGGTGGCACCGAACCACGGTGCTGGCCACGGCCCATAATGAAGGGGAACTGGGACACACAAGTAAATACACACAAATAAAAATATCCCCCATATTTTCCCATATTTCCTGGGTTTCTGTCTTCCCCCCCACTTCCCATATTTTCCGATATTTTCCTGGGAATCGCCGATTAATTGTGTCTGTGTGTTTTTTCCCCTCCTGAATAACGACGGCGCCTCATGCCGGAGCGTGTGCACGGAGCCGCCGCCCGCGCTTCGACGACGTCGGCCGCCTCGGCTGCACGCTCACAGACTGCCAGGCGAACCCAGGCAACGACAGCGAGGGAATGTACGTCAGGTTCGTGTCGCGCCGACTTCGACGTTGGTTTCTGACACCGCGGGGATCGTTCAACCTTGAACGATCGGCCGTTTCCGAAACGTCCAAATCGTTCCACATCGAACGATTCTGGGTCGCCCGCGGCGTTCAAAGTTGAACGCCGCTGGCGGGGTCGCCGCCGGTCGACACGACAAGAACCTACCGTAATACTCTTTAAGGTGCCCACTGCCTCCTGGGCGCTCTTGGGATGTCCCGCGGCTTCCCGCGCGACTTTTCTGGAGGCTAGGGCTCCAAGACGGGCCAGCAGGGCGTCAAGAGACCCCCAAGACGGTCTAAGAGGCATCCAAGACAGGCCAAGAGCGCTCCAAGATGCCCAAGATGACCCCAAAACGGCCCCCAAGAAGCCCCAAGAGGCTCCCCAACAGTGCCCTGAGAGGCTGAAATCATTGACGTTCTCATGGCTTTGAAGGATGTCAGCGCTCTCGCCTTTTCGAGCTTCCGACGCTTCAAGACGGCCCAAGAAGCCTCCAAGATCGCCCCAAGACGGCCCCCAAGAAGGCACCCAGACGGGCCAAGAGAGATGCAAGTCGGCTCAAGAGGCCCCCTACACGGCCCAAGCCGGCCCAAAAGGAGGGCCCCAAGAGGGAGAGCTCGAATGAGACCGCCAGCCAGCCCCCGAGGGCTCCCCCCCAGAAGCCCCAGGAGGCCCCAAGAGTTACAAATCAAGCCCCAGGAAGCTCCCAAGAGGCCCCAAAACACACCCAAAAACCGCCTCAAAGAAACTTCTGCATCCAAGAGGCCGCTGACCTACAACCGTGATGGGCCGAAGGCCACTGGACATCATCCATTGCCGCAGTCGAACGGGGAAGAGCAATCTGAGTAGCAAGTAGCGTGAAACCGCAATTCAGAATCAGTGCGCCACCGAATGATCCCATGTGTCCAGAACGCAGCCACCATCCCAACATCATTCTAGCTCCCCCGTCGCAATGCCAACCAAACCTGCCCCGATCTCGTATCAGAGACGCCCCCCACGGGAGATAGAGCTAACCTGCACCTGCGCTCTGCAAACAACTGCACCCTTGCCCTGCTACTTCTCCGTACACCTCCCTACCTTCAAACGCCGGGTCAACCTTCACTGCATACTCTACTTCCAGGACGGGGGGGAGAAGAAGTATGGGATGTGGGAAGGGGAGCCAAGTAGGGGCTGGCGCTGTACGAAATAACCAAGCAACCAATCTCCAAGAATCCTGGAATGAACTACTGCTGCAAGAGAGCCCATCATCGAATCGATAAATCGGATCGGCGATGGAAATGAATTGGATCGGCGGAAATCGGCAACCGAATCGGGAGACATCGAAACGGCAAACATCGGCAAGCTAGACCGCGACTGGGAAACCGGAATCCAGATCGGAATCCGAAGCCGAATCGAATCGGAATCGATCGAGAACGAATCGAACCGAGTCGGAGGAACCGAGATGAGCCCTGCTGCTGGCCGTCAGACAGAGTGGCTGAAGGAGGCTGGGAGCAGGGGATCAGGAAGAGCAGGAGATGGAGGGCAGGAGGACGACGATGAGGGGCATGACAGGATCGCGGACTCCCGATGGCGCAGATCGCTCGACGTCGTCCGATTCTGGGCCACTTGCGTCGTTCAGTCTTGAACGCCCGCGCTGGAGTCAGCGCCACGGCGACACGACACGAGCCTGACGGTGGTGAAGACTCTGGGCCCCCGAGGGCAGGGAAGGCCAGGGAATGCGGGCGGGAGCAGGCTGGGGCCAACCGAGCAGAGAATCCAGCCTGGCCATGGGCGCAACAGCCCACAGGCAAGCGCGGGCGCGCGCCGTCTCGTCGGCGATCGCTGCCTTGGAACGCCATGCAGGACCTGCTTTAGAACAGGAACGTGCCGAGGACGGATCTACCCTTTCTCCGACCTTGAACTGCGCCGAACGCAACGGCCTCGTTGTCTACAGACGCATCCATCCCACCCCGACTGTGTCAAGATGCTCAACTACACCCGATGTGTCTTTACATGCTTGTGGCTAGAAAGTGAGAGGGGCAATTGGCAGATGCTCCAGAGATTGGTCTTCTAGAATCGGGGAGGACGAACATGTAGTGTAGAGAATCAACTCACGCTGCTGGTTTTCCTGGCGCCTCCTGGCGCCGGGAGGCGCCCATGCATCGAGCGAAGTGGGCCCGGCGGCGGTGCGGAATCCAGGTGCATGCCTCAGATCTCGTACCCTCCTTTCCCTGTTCTGCCCTTTCGCCCAGCCCATACAGAAGAAGGCACACGCAGTGGTCCTCCCCGAGCCCCACCCGTGCCCCTCGCTGCTGCCTCCCGCCGCGAGGAGGAGGAGGAGGAGGAGGAGGAGGAGGAGGAGGAGGAGGAGGAGGAGAGGAGGAGGGAGGAGGGAGGAGGAGGAGGAGGAGGAGGGAGGGAGGAGGAGGAGGAGGAGGAGGAGGAGGAGGAGGAGGAGGAGGAGGAGGAGGAGGAGGAGGAGGAGGAGGAGGAGGAGGAGGAGGAGGAGGAGGAGGAGGAGGAGGAGGAAGAGGAGGACGAGGGAGAAGGAGGAGGAGGAGGAAGAGGAGGAGGGAGGACGAGGGAGAAGGAGGAGGAGGAGGAGGAGGACCTCGCAGGCAGAGGGCACTGGTGCGGACGCGGGCCCGGCCTCCCGAGGCCCGGGGCCTCTCGCGCGCCCCCGCTCTGCGGGCCACCGTGGGGCTGTGGGCGCCCGCAGGGGGCACCGGACCGGGGAGCACGTCATGGCCAGAGATCCAACGTATTGAAAAAATCAAGACGGAGGTTATTCGCAAAGTTCGGCCCCCAGGGGCCCTCGCCGGGCCTCGGGACCGTCAAAAAACGACTCAGGATGAAAATCCGGTCCTGGGGAATGGGTCGAGAGTTCTGGGGACCCCGTATTGAAAAAATCACGACATCGGATCTCAGGGTGGCACAGGCTGCGTGCTGGACCGGGGGCCCCTCGCCGCCCGCCGCTCCCGGGCCGTCGTCGGGGACGTCTTCGGCGGTCTCGGGAGGGCCACAGGCGGTCTCGGGCGGTCTTCGGCGGTCTCCAGCGGTCTTCGGCGTGCAGAAGCCGGACGGCTGCGTTCCAGAGGGGGGCCACCATCGAACACCTAAGCGTGGCACAAGCCAAAAACATCTGGAGGTCCGCGCGGACTTCTTGGATCGGCGCTGGACCTCCCTCCCCCTGGTGGCGCCTCTGGCGCTGCCCCTGGCGCGCTCCACGCGCCAAGGAAGGAGGGTCCAGCGCCGACAGCGCAGACCTCCGAATGTTGATGCTTGGGCCTTTATTAATAATCCCTCGGGGCACGGATCAAGACCTCGGTCTCAACTACCCACCAAGCCACCCCAACCCAACCCGAAGTCGACGACGGGCCTGCCACCTTCCAGTGGGGAGACGTTCTGGAGCATGAAGAAAAAGCACAGCGGAACCCGTAGCCTCCCTGGCCCTGAAATTCTGGGGCGTCCGGGGCCTCCCGGATGGGCTTGGATGGTCTGGCAAATTAGGGGAACAAAAAATGGCATAAACATAAAAACTCGGAGGTCCGCGCGGATTTCTCGGATCGGCGCTGGACCCCTCCCTCCCTGGCGCGCGGAGCGCGCCAAGGGCGGCGCCGGAGGCGCCGCCAGGGGGGTCCAGCGCGGATCCGAGGAATCCGCGCGGACCTCCGAGCTTTTATGTTTATGTCACTTTTTGTTCCCCTACAACTGGTGCGGCCAACGATCTCGCCGAGACCGTGCCGGAGGAGGCCGCGCCGCGCGCGCGCCTGGAAGGCCGGCGCCGGGGGCGACGCCGACGCGCGGCGGGAGCCGCAGAAGGTCGCGGGCGTGGCCTGCGAGGGCGGCCTGCGCGCGGCAGCGGGGCCGCGCTCGCTTCGGTGCTGGAGGCCTCGAACTTATCCCTATCCCTAAGATGAGCGAGCAAAAAGCGAGGACAATCTCAGGGATAGGCCCTCAGAGACTGAGGGAATCCTTAAGATCGGCATCGAGGTGAGGTGATGTCAAACATAGGGACAAGGATCTGATTCAAAGTGGTAATCCTAGAAGCGGCCCGAGTTCGGCAGGCTCAGTGTCGTGACGACCCCGGCGTTGCTCTCTGCCGCCGCGCGGATCGTTCGAGCTCGAACGATCTGCGCCGTCTTGAGCGCCAGGTCGTTCCAGCTTGGCCAGCTCTGGGCCGCTGGCGGCGCTCCACCCTGCACATCCCCGCGTGGACGAGCGTCGCCGCGACGACACGACACGAAGCTCCAGCAAATGGGGTCGGAGGATCGAGGCGCATCGCCGAGTCATCTCCTCGAGGCATTGCCGATACATCGCCGATACATCGGCGATGCCTCAGCGACGTCGGCGATGCGTCGGCGCCGTCGGCGTGGAGAAGATCGACATCGCAATTGCATCGGCGATGCGGCGTGATCATTCGACCCCATCTACTCGGATCCCATCTGGGAGGACTGGACAAACTCGCTTGGGTACTGCAGGTCCGTGCCGTGTCGACCCTGGCGTTGGTTCTTGACACCGCGCTGGATCGTTCAACCTTGAACGATCGGCCGTCTCCGCAACGTCCGATCGTTCAACATCGATCGATTCTGGGTCGCTGGCGGCGTTCAACCTTGAACGTCCGCGCTGGGGTCGCCGCTGGTCGACACGACGAAAACCTACCGTACTCGGATCCCATCTGGGAGGACTGGACAAACTCGCTTGGGTACACAGTCCACATCACTGGTCCTGGCCTGGCGGACCCTGGGCCCAGGGTCGGTGCATGCAGCGATCGTGCTGCCACAAGGGGCACTGAGTGGGGAACGAGATGGCTTGTCTGGCCACGGCGAACCTCGGCAACGTGCAGGTCCCCCGAACCAAGTCAGAGGAACAGCCCGAAAACCGTAGCTCCCTCCCGAACCCAAAGCGGCCCTTCGCTCAGCGTCTTGGCTGCACGCCCTCCTGGCTTCCAAGAATTCCAGTCGAAGCCGAGCCGAACCCACGTCGACTGCACATCGAAACCGCGGCGGATAGAAGAAGCGACCATACTTAGTTGGACAGACAAGGTCCCCCGACGAGCCAATTTACGACAACTCTCTGCCATTGCGGGGCCTCCAAGAAGTCTGTGAAGTAGGCGCCACCATGCGAAGACTGGCACACGAATCGACGTTGGCTGCACGCTGCAAAATCCAAAATTCGACCCCAAATCAAACAACCGACGCAGTTGTCTCACAACCACGCACATTCCGGGAAAAAACGACCTAGTCTCGACGAGAATCGGCATCCATAGGAAGTCCCTATCTTTTTGTCAACGTTCCTCGTTTTGTCTGTGCACTGAACCATGCAATGGTCTGAATGCCCAAGGCGGGGCAAGAAAGTGATAACGTGTTCGTCCGGCAATGCCCATCGTAATCTTAGCGGTCGCAAGCCACTATGCGTCATATCTGTCTCGCCCCTCCGTGAACACGAGGCTCTCCCTCGGCAGCCATGATTTTGAAGGGGCGAGGCAGCAAGCAACGGCGGCCGACAGGAAACAACTGTTTGTATGGAAAGCTTCCTTCAGGGGGCCCTGGCAGCGCGCCTGGCGGGCGCGCGTCTCCGCCTTGCGGACGCGGCGGGCCTGTCCGATGGCCCTCTTGCGCTCCAGCATCTCGTCGGCCGGCGCAAGGCACGACACCACTGGCACTTCGTCGTGCGTTCCAATACGTATCCACGCTCGGACTCCACCTTGGCGAGGGAGCCGGCTAGCATCAACTCCGTCTTACCGGGCAGCTAGCACCGAGTCGACCTGAGCACGGTCGTCATAACTCGTAATGTACCCCATGAGCTCCTTGATCTGGGCCATTCGGAATCGAACTCGTTTGTCTGTAGGATGGCCTCCGTCCTTTTTCTGAGCTGGGATGTCCACCTCCTTGCCGTCCACGAATTCATCAAAACTGCGGCTGGTGAGGCCGATTATAAGGATCTCCTCGATCACATGCTTGAGAAACTCGGCGTTCTGGGCAAAGGTCAAGAGACTGCTGAAGTCGGCGGGCAATGATCTTTGGCACGCTCGCTTGACCATGGCACTGGCCCGCTCCGAGATGTGGATGGAAACAGGCTCGCCGTTCGTCAGCTTGTGCTCTGCTGCCCCTGTCAAGTAGCCGCACAGCGACATAGCCTTCTCGACGGGGGACTTGTCGTCTACGTCGCCGTGGCTGCTGTCGCCAGAAAAGGAGTGAATCGCCTCGTCTCAGTCGAGGTCGGATGCGACAACTTGCGGGAACTCCATTTCCCCCTCGGGCATGCTGATGGCCTTGCATATATTCGCGATGTCCTTGATCGTCAGATAACTCATGGATTTGGCTCAGAAGCAATCGTGCACTGATCGATCTGGGCGGGTCTGCCGCGCAACGCAGCCCAGCGAGCCAGCTCCACTGCGAAGTCCTCAGGATTCCTCAGTCAAGAACGGCGAATCGGACTGCTTCCTCCGATGCGGCCCCCCCACTGTGACGCACGGCAGCGCGCCCGCGGCATCAACCCGTCCCATCTTGATGTTGTAGCTGTCGTCCTGGGCGACCGACTTGCCGCATTGCGTAAACTTCTCGCACTTACCTGTCATGCTGACAGTGTGCTTGGGATGGCATCCATGATATCGTCGAATTCGCGGCCCTCTGCCCGCTGCGAACAGGTCCCCGACATGGGCGCGGAGCAATCCGATCAGCTTTCCAGCCATGCCCCCCGGCATGAAGAGCTAAGGCTGAAAGCGTGACTCTATCCAGCCATCCAAGACCAATATGACGAGTCGGTGTAGCCAGCGCTAGCGGCCGGCGCCCTTCGCGAAATGGATAACGCCTCGCGCTTGCACGCGCGCCTCCCCGGGCAATCGAGGCGGCGCTGGTCGCGGGGCCTTGCGGACGAGCGCTCGCTCGACGCGAGAAGCTGGGTGGCTCGCCGCAAGGAAAGCGAGCGACATGGCTGCAAGTGCGTCCCCTCGCACGCCCAAGCCGCGTTCCTGGCGCCCTTGCACGACCAGCCAGCTCTGGGCAGCAAAAAGGATGTCGCCCGTAGCCTGGCGAGGCTTGCCAGCTTCCGCGTTCTTGTCGGTGCGAGCCCCTATCGTGCTAACGGAATAGATTCTCTTCTCGATGAGCTCCGTGGCCTGGTGATCGTTGAGCACCACACCTGCTTTGCACTCTCTCCAACTGCGCCGTTCCGTCTCCATGGCCAGGTCGTACTGGCGGCGCAGCTTTGGCGCGTGGTCCTGCCGCGTGACCAGAGACCGAAACACTCCTTTGCGTCAGGCAGGCGTACTCCGCGCGGTCTCGCGCCCCGACGACCTCGTCGTCGCGCGCGAAGATCGTCTCGATGGAGGCGTTTGACGGTAGAGCTGCTCATAGACTGCGGCGTCGTCGCGGCGGGCCTCGGGCGCCGATGTCTTAGATTGCATCACCTGGCTCGATGTCCTCCTCGATGCGTCTCAGGACCTTTGGCTGGCAAGGTCTCGGGGCGTCCGCGGCGATGTAGCTCGAGCTGTCGTAGTCAGTGCGCCTCCACTCGTCGGCGCAAGCCAGGTGGGACCTGTGGTCACTCGCGAAGTAGGCACTCCTCCATCAGGCGGGGCTCCTTGTCCATGTAGGGCTGGGGCGCCCCCTGCTTCCCGACGCGCGTCCATCCGTCGAGTCGGTGTGCGCCTATGTGTAGGGCTTGCTGCGAAGGTGTCCGCCCTGGCCGCTCAACCCCTCGTGGGGGGCCCAGCTCTGGTCAACGACGCGGCAAAATCCACGCGGTTGTCTCGGCTGGCGGTTCCGTCGAAGCAGCGGCTCGTCGTGCAGGACCGGGTTGTTCGCCAAGTCCATGCGCAGCGGGACGCCCCGGCACGGGTCCTCGTGGTTGTCCTGCTGGCGATGTTCAGCTACTGATTCGACCAATGGCCTGTCGTCATCTTGTCCACCTCCACCCCCTGAGTGCTGCGGCAGGAGGTGCAGGCCGGTCTTCCGAGGTCATTGTCGTCCTGGCCGTCGTCATCATCGTCCTCTTTGTCGTTCTTAGCGGCCCCTCCGTCTCCTGGCGGCGGGGGCACGGTGGGCGCCGCCGGCGACGCTGGCGGCTTTGCGGCAGGCGGCCCAAGCACCCCTCCGCGACCGGTAGCACGTCTCTACGGAGCGGGCACACGTCGCACAGGATCGCCTGTAGCGGCGGCGCCTGAGCTTGAGTCGGCATAGTTGCGAGCGCCCTCGGTGCTCGTGGCGTTAGGCAGGTCGAAGTTGATGCAGGTGTTCATGGATCGACTTCGGACGCGAATTGTTTCGATTTGGGCGCTACAAAAGATCAGCGACCGTCGCGTGTCCGAGCGTAACCGAACTGCATGAGCGATGGTGTTGGCGGCCCCCTGCGCGTCGTCATCGAGGCACTTCGGTTCCGAACATCGTGCGCGATCACGCGTGCCAGGCCAGACCGCCGGTGCGAAATCTCCGAGTTCTCGCTGAGCAGCGCCATGCTTCGGCGGAAATATATGAACGCGCCCGTCCGGAAAGGGCCCCCGATAGGTCAGGCTGAAAGTGGGATTGCTGGTCGAACTCGATCGTCGGTATCCACGCGTATCCCCGAAGCGGGCGCCTCCTCGCAGTGCCATCGTCTGAGCCATAGCCGACCCTGGCGCTGGGCTTCGCCATCCAGGCGCTGAGCTTCGCCAACTTGCGCTAGACTTAATCATCTTGCGCCAGCACAGGCTTCCAGTAATTGCAGACGCTGAGCTCCATTATCTTGCAGTGAGCTACCTGACGCACTGGCGAAAGGGCCCTACGACCCACTGCCAGGGCGAACGCCCTCCAATGCTTAGGTGATGGTTTTCATGGTGGCCCCGGAGTCTTTAACATCGGTCACCAATGAATCCTGGGCGGTGCGCCGCCGCATCT